GTGAGCTAACTTGCAATCCAACTCTCAGGTTGAAGAAGGAGGTTTTTAGTGTCACCCACAAGCCATTGTTGCATATCGATGATAGCCTACTATATCTTCACACTGGTGACCCAATGCATGTGTCACAAGGTTTAATGACTCACTTGACAGAAGAAACTGCCATCCAGCTACAGAAAGCTACGGAGTGCTCTACTACACAAGAATCTGAACCAGAATTTGTGAAGGAGCAAACTACAAGAGTAAAAGCTTTCATTGAGGTCATGGCTTCTCGTGCAAGTTCTCTTGCATTCAAGCATGCGCAGGATCGATACAAGGAGGAAGACAGGTTAGCAAAGTCTGCATTTCAAGAACTACGTGCAGCAGATGAAGATGCTGTCGATAGTTGTTATGAAGCTTACACAAGCGCAGTCATGAGAAGAGATGAAGTAGGTCGAGAACTAAGTTATCAGGAAACTTCCCGGAAACTCAATGGAGCCGAGGAGCTGAGATCTTTGCTACACAATTTAGAGAGGAGTACTAAGAAGAAGAGTTATACAAAGGCTGTATATCTTTTCATGAAAGCTATTAAGACCTTTGCGRGTGATTTCAATAAGAACCATGGCCAATACGAGTTAACAAATGCTCGCGGAATCAAGGCACTTCAAAGTAATGAGGAAATATATAGCGTTGTAATCGATGGATGTAACAATCCAGCTGTGCTTGAGATTATGGCTTGGTGGCGAGGGGCTGCCAAGCTTCTCTTGCACATTTCGACTGCTTTGAAAAGTCAGGACAGACAGTCTATAGAAGATGTCTTGAAACTAAAAGAAAACACTGCTAAATTTGTACAGCAATGGGTGAATCGCCTGGTAAGATATCATAAAAGTAAGAACCCAATCTACTGGAAGATGCATATGCTGGTGTGCGCCTTGATTCCTTTTATTGAGAAGACAGGAATGAGTGGACGTTGCTCCACTGAAGGCTTTGAAAACAAACACTACGTAATGAATCAATTAAAAAGGCTCATGGCACCAATTGCACAAGATAAACTTCGGTGTGGAAAGCTGTCACAACGCCAACAATCCTGTCTTATTCCAGGCATTGAAGAGGTTCATTGCCTCTTTGAAGAGGAAGACTATAAAAGRCGGAGAGCTCCCCGAGGCCGTTACAGTTCTTTCGGAACAAGAACCAAACTCCTAKAGGATATCCCTGTCGGAGAATCGGTTGATGACGAGGAAGAAGCAGTGGACGGATACTTTATTTCACAAAAGAAGAATTTGATTCCCAACGAACTGCATGATATTTACTATTACATGCTGCTTGGCAAGGTCCCAGATAGCTGGTCCCAAAACTTCGTCGATAGCGAATTCCTTGGATCCAAGGCATCCAACTCTGCTCGATACATCCCTCCGTAGTAGTAGTAACAAGAACACTGTTTGTTCTTGCTGCTGGCTTCTTTCAAGAACAACAACACGAGTCTAGTTGAGACTATTCAGTATGTAGTGCACTTTATGCAAGGATGCTGCTTACCTGCACTCTTGATGACTCTTAGAGCATTCACAAGTTGCACCACACAGTGTTATCAGCGACGGAAACCGAACTGGAGGGAGGAGCTCAATACTCATAGTAGTATTCATATGTACTGTAAATCAAAACAAAAAATCAAGCAAAAATTCATTCCTGGTACAAATCTGCCGTAGGATTCTACACTGAAAATGAGCTGTTAAGGGGGAACACTGGGAGATTATCGATATTTTGATCTATCTAATTAGCCAATCAGATTGCTTGATTCCTACCGAATTTTAGTAGTATCCCTAACTCTAAATTAACGCCGAAAACCGTTTTAGAGACACTTTTCGTACGTTTCAAACACCTGTGGATGAGGGTGATCAATCGCCACCTTAACTTTCGTTTTTTTTGGGCCAGAAAAATTCATATCTGGGAGTTCTACCTCAGTTTTTCTCAGATTCGATCTTCATTCGTGACTAAATATTTCTATGCGGGAATGCAGGGAAGAATAAAGTCGAATGGCGACTGACGTACTCGTACGTTTTTGGTACGTGTTCTCATTGGTCGTCAGCGAGGGATTTTTTCCGCCCCTTGGTGATAGCATCTTGTTTGTCTACTCAATACACGCATGGCACCTACAACACGTCCTACTGCCGTACCCTTACGTATGGGGATGGTATCCAAACAAATCTAGGTTTTTGCACTCGCATCTCGCTGGCGTTCTCATCCATGTCAGGCCCAGAATCCTTTGTAAACGGCTATGTACCGTACTGTGCCGTTGTACCGTGCGGTGCGACACCTCGAATGGACACACGACGACCACAAGAGAAAATTGCTGCAAATCAAAAGATTTTTCAGCACTCACCATTGTCTCACAATCCAAACTTTCACACTCTTTCACATCAATCATCAAAATGCAATTCTCCAAAGCCGTCCTTTGCCTTTTGGCCTCCGCCGCTAGCGTCAACGCATTCGCTCCTGCCCGTAAGTTGTCGTTATTTCATGCTGAAGGCCAGCATAATACACCCTGATGAATTATGTCGTCGGAAATCTGCAATGACCCTTGAACGATATCGATCTCTAACTTTACTTTTTCGAACATGATCTGTTACTCGTTCAGAATCTTTCCGTGGCCTTCCTACCGCTCTCGAGGCCAAGAAGTCCATCGAAGACTTGTCTGATGATGAACTTAAGGGAAAGAAGGTTCTTGTCCGTTGCGATGTCAACGTTCCCCTCGACGGAAAGACTATCACCGACGATACCCGCATCCGATCCAGCATCCCCACCATCGAGTACTTGAAGAGTAAGGGTGCCGTCGTCACTGTCTGCTCCCACTTGGGACGCCCTGATGGAAAGGAAGACAAGTTCTCCCTTGCTCCTTGCGCCGAGCGCATGTCCGAACTCCTCGGACAGGATGTCACCCTTGCCCCTGACTGCATCGGTGAGGAAGTTTCCAAGGTTGTTGATGCCGCCAGTGAGGGTGACGTCATCATGCTTGAAAACACCCGATACTACAAGGAAGAGACCAAGAACGAACCCGAATTCGTTGAGAAGCTTGCCGCTCCTTTCGACCTTTTCGTCAACGATGCTTTCGGAACTGCCCACCGTGCCCACGCTTCCACCGAGGGTGTCACCAAGTTCTTGCAGCCATCCGTGTCCGGATTCCTTTTGGCTAAGGAACTCGAATACCTTGATGGAGCCGTTGCCAACGGAGAAAAGCCTATGGTCGCCATTGTTGGTGGATCCAAGGTTTCCACCAAGATCACCGTCTTGGAAGCCCTTCTCGACAAGTGCGACACTGTCATCATCGGAGGAGGTATGGTTTTCACCTTCTTGAAGGCCAAGGGACTTGAAGTTGGTACTTCTCTTGTCGAAGACGACTTCGTTGACACCGCCAAGGAAGTCATGGCCAAGGCCGACAAGCTCGGAAAGACCATCCTTCTCCCTACCGATATCGTAGTTGCTGACGAATTCTCCGCTGATGCCAACAGCAAGGTTGTCACTGCCGATGCCATCCCTAACGGATGGATGGGACTTGACAACGGCCCAGAGACCACTGCTGCCCAAAAGGAGTGCCTCTCCACCGCGAAGACCGTCATCATGAACGGACCTATGGGAGTCTTTGAAATCGAGAAGTTCGCTAGTGGAACCTTCGACCTCGTCAACATCCTTGCTGATATCACCAAGGAGAACGGATGCGTCACTATCATCGGAGGAGGAGACTCTGTTGCTGCCACCGAACAATCTGGACGTGCCGGAGACATGAGCCACATCTCTACCGGAGGAGGTGCCTCCCTCGAACTTTTGGAAGGAAAGGTCCTTCCTGGAGTTGCCGCCCTCAACGAGGCTTAAGCACTTTGCAGCAAGTCACAACGCGACACTGGATAGGCCCCAACGTGCCAGGCCTTGATAGAAGTGCGTTTGTGTTTGCCCTTTTCCCTAGTCGCTGCAGGGAATTCGCAGCCTTGACAAAGAGGAAATACATTATTCTGTAACATCATAGACTATTCAATTTTTTCCACGATTCCGGTTATTTGTTTTTCATTTTATCGTTCACTCTTAGAAGTAGACGTCATCATCATGTCGTCCCTTGAAATACAACCTTCACGTTAAAGGCACACAAAGATGAAGGACGAACTTCAGCATCCGCTGCTCTGTTTAGTATCACAGAACCTTCCAAATCAGGATTGTTGTCGTATGCAAACGATTCAGAGCATAATTTCAATTTACGAAATGAGTAATCTTTCACCCCGATCATAAAGCAGAAGCCAAGTAGAAAGCTGCACTGTGAGAATGATATATCAGGGTACGGTACTTCTTTTACAAGCACTTTCATGAAGATGGTCGACAGGCATCGCGTTTTCATACATGCCTTTCACATTTATAGTGAACTTTATCAAACATTCTTTACTACTTTACTGCTATAATGCTTCACCATGGTTTCAATACAAGTTTTTCATGAGGATTCTCTGTCACGTGTTGCCAAATGTTGCCACTCACAATTGCACACTCAAAAAACGGAAAAAAAAATATGTTTTTGCCATGTAGGATTTATACCAGAGTCCAAAGAGGTTTAAGAAGAGACCAAAGTGAGAATCTACAAAAAAACTTGAGAAAATTGAAAATTTAATATCAGGAGGAGAGGCGGAGATGGGGAAAGTTTTTAAAAACCTGGGCCTTCACAAACCCAAACGCAGACAAGAACCTCTTTTGAAATCCAACATTTGGGGGCATGATTTTGTGGGTTATTTTTCCAATGAAATAATCCATATTTTAGAAACATGGGTTATTTTTCCCATGAAATATCCAACAATTCTGAAATGTGGGGTTCGTGGGTTAACCCATGAATAACCCACAAAATCACCCACAAATAACCCACAAATCTGTTACGCCCCAGTAGTAGTTCTACAGCTAGTTGTAGTAAAAGTAAAATGACCATTTAGTACTACAAATATCATTACACGTGATTGCCAAACTAGGAAAGTAGTTCCCATGATTGTTAATTCAATCATGATGACATACGTAATTTTTTCAGTACAAATTCTTTACAGCTCTACTGAGTGTTGCTCCCCAACATTAGTATCAGCATGATTTGCCTTCTGAGAAAAAAGCAGGATTGGTTCTGTGCCACCAGAATAATTGCAAACTACCTCCTCAGTAGATTTTGGTGAACTGTGTTCTACTGGGTTAGTGATGGCATCATTGAATTAACAATGGGATCCACTTTCTTAGTAGTGTGGTGATGGCTTGTTATGATATTTCTTGTACTACTAGCCTACTAGTAGTAACAATAAAACAAGAATAGCACAACAATTCATTTGATACAAAAGAAAATAGTAGTATATTCAGAATCCTCACAAAAACTGTTATAGGTGCAAGTTTTGGTTGAGAAGTTATGCACAAGAAATGGGAGGGGATAGGGGCAAATAAATGGTGCAATGGAAGTAACTACTAGTTCTAGCAGCATCCAGGGCCAAACTTAGTTGATGACTCAAAAGAGCACTACTATCAAATTGAGGGGTCGTCCATGTACTGGCTTTGCTATCAGGCAACTTTTGGTTGAGAAGATATGCAAAAGGCAAAATTGGCTACAGTGCACTGGTCTACTACAACTTTTCACTTGTGCATGGGAGCCAGTGACCTTGAAGTATTCTCACTGTTCTGGACTTTCAGAAAAAATAAAAAGAAACATGTTTTTTTGTGTAGAATCCATGTAGGCTTCAGTACCCCAAAATAGCAAACAAATTAGTACCTTGACAAAAAACAGTTCTTTTCACCCTTGCACACACTTTTGCACCGTAGAAACTATGCGCCAGTGAGCCAATGGTCAGACCGGGCGAAATTTCTTTTGTTCACGTTTGTGTTTGTGTCCCAGCATCCAGGCTTAGTTTTTGGTGCTCTAAGCATGACTGATGAATTGAACCGACATGAGAATGGAGCGAAGATTAATACTGAGTAGGAATTACTACCAATTACAACTGTACTACGGTATTGTTGTGTTGAACCGCCGTGAGAAACTAAAGATCTTCTATGATTTTCTTCTCTTTACTGTATTGTGAGCCTAAAAATCTTTTCATGTATCCGTACTGCAGCAGTATCTGCATAAGATTTTTTTGAAAGAGTAGAACAAGATCAACCGAGAAAAACATTACAATCGAGTTACAAAGTGACAACAAAAATGACCGGACTCAATAAAAAGAGCAATGGTGATATGAGTGACGATGATATCGATTTCGACGAGGATGATGAGTACGATGCCGAAAAGGTCGAAAAGAAGGCAATCGATCAACAGGAGAAACTGAAATTATTGCTTCAAAACCTTGAAGTTTACTGCAACGACGAATCAGAATACGATGATTTGCGTGACTTAGGGAAGGCCGTTAAAAGTGGAGCAAAGTTGGCCGGGACAATCTTGTCAGGTGGTTACACCAACTACTCGTATAAAATTCACCTTGATAGCGACGGCAGCGATAACGACGAAGGCAATTACGGCAAGAAAGAAATTGCTGTCTTTGCTAAGATCGCTTTTCCATACGCTTTGTGGAACCCAGATACGAGTGTACCGTATGATCTAGATCGCGTAACGGCAGAATTCGACCTTATGAAACGGTTCTCCGAAGAACTCAAGACGACCAGTGCAATTGATGGAAGCGAGAAATCTCCAATTCCAAGACCTTACGTACTGATCGATGTTCCAGCCGCAGTAGATGGCACATCACCACGTATGAAAATTTTTGTTGCGGAATGGGTTGCCCCGACCGATGAACAATGGGGGAATCAGTACATCGAAGGGGAAATTGATCTCAGGGTAGTCGACCAGTGTGCTAAGACTCTTGCGGTGATTAACCTGGCTGATTGTGACGATGACATCAATCAGGGCTACGTCGAGACATTTGCAAAAATTGCCAAGGGATTCGACGGACCAGTCCTGGCTGTGTTGGATAGAGAAGACGAGGATAAGGCTGTTCGATACGTTCGAGACGTTGTTGGGAAAGAAAAAATGATTGCCATCATGAAAGAATGGCATATTCGTAATAGAAAAAAAGAGGCCCTCGTTCACGGAGACGCAGTAAGTTTGAAAAGTTTGATCGACTGTCAATTTTGTGTTCGATGTGAACGCATCGGATATTTGACTGCAATCACTCTCCTACTCACAAAGCTTGTGGCCTTGGTTTGATTTTCATTCTTATCGTCTCTTCATTGCATATTCTTGTGCAGCACGTGTTCAACATGCTTGTCGAACGAAAACCAAATCCATTTCAATTATCGAGCTCTTTCGGGGCCAACGGCGACTTCATTCTGTGTGATTGGGAAATGGCACACAAGGGTCACAAAGGACGCGACATAAGCAATTTCTTTTCCTTTCCTACCATGTCGGCATGTTTCATGGCTGCACGTGGTCAGAAGGACAAAGCGGACAACATTATTGCTTCATTGAAACAATTCTGGACAACCTATAAAACAGCGCTCGCGGAGGGTTTGGATACTAAACAAGCAGGAAGCGCTAACGGTGACGACGTTTTGGATGTGGACCGATATATGGAGGAAGTCTTTAACTCTGCAATTAGTTTTTTTGGTTACTTTTCCTTTGTTGCATTTTATATAGTCGGAGTTATGACCGAGTACAACGAGACGGAGGGCCTCACGGAAAAGGAAGAAAAACATGTAATGGGTGTTCTGGGATGGATTGGTATTCGTTCGATGGAAGTCGGATTTTTGGAACCCGCTGCAGAAGAAGCATTCGGTGACCACGACAACCAACGCCTTTCTAGAATGGAATCCTTCTTTTTCGGAATGATCGAACAGGAAATCAACGAGCTATTTGAGGCTCGTAAAACTAGCCATCGTAGATCCCGACGCCGTTCGTCTATGCTTCGTGAAAGCTCACGTCGTGTTAGCGACTCTGAATCTGGATTCGGCAGAATGGTTAGGAGAATGTCACAACAAGTCACAGATGAAAACTAGAAAAAGATGCGATAAGCGGAAAATTTACTGGTTTTCATCCGATAAATCTAACTGACATAATACAAAACACGGTACAAGATCGTCAGCCTACTTCTTATTTCCTTAGACCCTACTTCTCTATCCGTTTGTTCCCTACGTGTGACAAAACGAGATTCCAACCGCTTGTTGTCTTGTCATTTGTTTTGTGGGCTGCGCGATACTTTTTGTATATTTTCGATCGTCCGTAGCGAAAAATAGCTTCTCGTGATTTACCTTCATTAACAGCCTCCTTTCTGCCATGTGAACCTTCACGTCGAAGAAAATCTCTCGCTTCCTTCATCTCGTTTGGTGGAACTACATCTGGCAAAAGGACAGTGACCTTGTGCTCAACTTGCTCTCTCTTTTCTGGCTGATCAGAAGCACTTGAAGTTGTCGCAGGAATAGATAACGTCCAAATTTCTGGATCTACACTAGCCTGAGTTCCTTTCCCGTCTTCCTCTTGGTATGTTTTAGAAGTCATACTTTCATCATCTTTGCCTCGAAATAACCACTTCTGCATACTTCCAAAGCATGTAATCCGGGCTGTGTCAGATTCTGATACTTCGCAGAAAGAAAATCGTCTCCGATCGCTTTCAGGATCGTTTGAAATGCCAGAACTAATATCGCTAGCTCTAGCTATCTCAGTGTATTTCCGACTCCGATCGAAACCAAGCGATATTGGTAAACTTTGTGTAAACGTTGACCGTCTTGCTGCAACCAAAACATCAACTTTACTCAGCAGCAATATATCACTCATAGCAGATTTCCAACCTTCTAAACAGCGATCACCCTTTCCTTTCAGAGCGTCAAATCCAACGCCGGCATTTTTTGGTAAATAACTTTGCGGCCAGGTGATAATTTGTAGAGGTAGAGTCTTTGTTCGAGTATTTGTAGCTGTGGCATTTAGAGAACGTAATCCTTCCAAGCCATGCATTGAATCAGCGTCGTTATGCGCGTTGAGTTTTGCTACTTTTTCCACCAATGGAATCAGATGCGCTGTGTCGGTTGCAACAAATAAAAGAGGCGAAAGAGCATCGTCTTGCTCATTGTGCTCTGCTTTCAGGATTTCACGGGCTGCCACTTCGTTTATCAACATCATTAGTCGGGTGATCATCGTACTTTCGTTGTACTCTATTGATGCCCCGCGTCCGGACTTTACAAAATGAGCATCTTCTCCGTTCCCAGCGCGTAGATGCAAGCCTACAACTAGTGGACGTTGGCCCCATTTATGTTGAACTTGAAAGTCTTGAAGTTCGCGTTCAAATCGATAGTTGTCAACAAGGCGGCGATAAAAATGGACATCGCTGTGCATTACTTTATCAAGGATGGTGTCATATTCATAGAGCTTATCAGTCAGAGCAACTGTTGCCGAGGACAATGCATCTGCCTTGTTATTTCGCGAGGGTGCTTCTTTTGGTTTCATTTTGACGGGAAGTTTCAAATCTTTGTACAATTGACCAGCAATATAACCTGGAATGTCGTTTCGCAAAACGATCATGTTCCTTATATTTTGGACACCCACGTTTTTGTCACTGTCGCCTTCGCTATCTGTCGATGCCATCAAAGAATTTTCTGGCTGATCCTTTAGTTCCCACAAATCTTCCCCAAACAAAAAGCGAAACACATTGTACTCTTTTTTCTCTCCTGCTTCGTCATGGAGACTCGAATTGCCTTGGTCGCCATCAGCAAGACAACTTTCCCAATGAAACCGTAGATGCGTAATAGTTGGCTGCTGATTATAATGGTCCGTATTGACTGGATCAAGCTCACCGGCGGGTGATCGGGATGCTCCAGGCGATGATAACGATCGGGCTAAATGATACGAAGCAGCTGATCGATGAAGTCTGTGGCCAAGTCCAAAGAAAGCTCTGTGAATAATCTCATTGACCACGACAACACCTGGGCGATGGTGACGGAGTTCTTCATTCTCCGATCTTATTGTTGTCTTATATTCTAGCGATTGGTTTTTCCCCTGAATTAGATATGCTTCATCGATTTCTGTGCGCCCTTGCGCCTGCCAATCATTTGGATGACTACTCGTATGAAATAGGACTATGTATCTCCATTGCTTTACCGTTAAAAAACCCAAGAAAAGTACCGCGGTGACTGTTCGCAGAGCAATCCTTTTACGAGAGAATTCCATCTGTACGCCACAGGCTCGTTGAACCGATCACTCACTGTATGTAGTCTCATCAGCAATAGACTTCGGCTTCCTTCGGCCTCGTAAGAAATGGCTAAGACTTAATTTTGTTTTTCTCGATGAGTTTTGTTCCAGGATTTTGGATTTTGGATTTTCAGTTTTCGACTGGGGAGCATCGTCAATTTGATATTCCTACCCTTACTGTACCACAGGAAAGTAAATATGAAACATATGCTAATTGAAAGTGGATTTTGGGATGTCGGGGCGCGCGCGGACTGACACACATTCCGTCACAAGAAACTCAAAAACACTTGATGAAACGAAAACAACTCGAAAGAAAAGCCGTTACATTTCTTCGACCAAAGAAAACCTTCGTTCCTATTGATAGAAAGTAACTATCGAGGCCAACATGATTGCAGCGTTTACAGTATTGTTGTGCTCTGTAAAGTGTAGCATCAGATTGCTCTTCTCTCACTTTCTACTTTTTCTTCCATTTAGACAAAGCATCAATCATGTTCAATCGCCAAGTAGTCGAGACATTCCAAAGTAAAAATGAAGTGATTCCCTGCCATCGTTTACGTCGTCGGCGATCAGTTGCATCCTGTGATCCTCCTTCCCCAAGTCCAGCCAAGCGTAAGTTTCTTCACTGCGTAAATCGCATTCAGTCTGTTTGTGCATTCTAGATATTCCATTCGAAATCTAACGGATGGTAATTTCGTGAAAGGTTTCATTTCTTTGCTTGTGTCAGCTCTTACGCCTTTGCGAAAGCAACCCAAGTCGGGACTAAGCTCGACAACGACAAAGAACTCCAAGAAAAATACCGTATCTTCCGATCCAATCAGCTCGGTTAAGAATAAACACAGAAAGAAGCCGTTATCTTACGCTAGAGCACTCCTTCAGAACGATAGCCAACCGCTTCATTCTATAGTGTCTCCTTCTTCATCATCCCCAGGATCCACCGACTCGGTGAGTAACTCTCCTGAACTGCAAGATATTACCACTGCCAATGCTCTTGCTGCCACTTCTATTGATTTGCCGTACAAAGATCAATACAAGTCGAACGGACAAAGAGTAACTTTGGTGCCTCCATTTTTCTCTCCGGTTGCGGTCGTTACTCCCCGTCGTGGTTTCTTTCGTCGGGAGCACTCTAACTCTTCTTCAAGAGAGTTTATGATTACTCCGAACAATATCTCTCTCAAGAGCGTTGACAGCGACGACGACGATACCAGTCAGTTTGACACCAACAATAATTATATCGCTCATGAATACTATGACTTTGATCTCAATCACGATTACGATTATGATCTCGACGATGATCTCGCGACCGAGCGCTACCGTTATTTCAAGGGCAAGAATATCCACATTGATGGGGTTGAGATTACCGCCGAAGAGGAAGAATTTACTAAACCCTTCAATCGTATCAAGTTGGATAGACGTCTTCGTCGCGAAGATCGCATGTAATTGCAAGAATACCATGGAGAGAGAAGAAGAACAATGAATGGTCCGTTCTACAGACTGACAACCACAATTTAGTACTAATATTGATGAAATTAATGAAACATTGCTTGTAGTATTGAATTGCTGTTGCTAAATTAGAATATCAATTCCGGCCTTGCTTCTTTAGAAGTGCCGCCCCTCGGAGCCACTACTAAGATCATCCTTGTCCTCCCTCAAAGTGACAGTTCTAGTCTACCTAGCCAGTGCCTCTTTTCAAGTTTATGAGGTTAGGCAATATATTAGTAGATTTTTGATTTGAATATCAATTGCTTTGTCAGCATCATCATCATGTTGTTGTATTGCTACTACTACTAGTACTAGTAGTAGTAATTGAATCATGACAGCAGTACTACTACTAGTGGTACTTCTGTCACCGCTCCTGCAGCTGTTGTAAATCCTGCTGCTGCTACTAGTGCTACTAGTACCACTGGTACTAGAACTAGTATCAGCATGAGCGTACTAGTAGTAGTACTACTACTAAACTAGTACTAGTACTAGTACTAGTAGTAGTATCCTCACCATATTAGTAGTAGTAGTACCAGTACTACTACTACTATGTAGATCTGGTACTAGTACTAGTAGTAAAAGCTACTACTAGTATTACCACTGCAAGAAGCAGCACTAGTAGTAGAACTTTTAGTACTACTACTAGTAGTTCATGTACTTTCTTGATGAAGGAATCTTCTGCCTTCGGGGAAGAAAGAGAGGGAACGGGAGATTCGGTCATCATCACGATTCTTCTCGTCGGCACGGCTATTATGGTACTCGCAATTTTTGCGAGAGAAACTTTTCCGAAAAGATTCCATCCGACACCACTCCATAGCATCGAAAGAAAAATATTGACTGAAAATTGATACAGTATATTGTGTTAAAATGGAAGGCGTAGAAATGCTTAGGTGTAGAAAACAGAAGCTCTTCTTTCTCTCCTTTCCATATGCTCAGACATGAATGGAAGCGAACAATTTGTGAGACGTGTCATCATTTTTTTCTGTTATTCTCGTTGACCTTGTTTAGAACAATCATGTCGAAACGAAAACAAGAAGGGACCAAACGTCGAAGAACGATATAATTGCAGTTCCGTAGGCTAACAGTTATCCGTCGATCGTCGAGGACTGTTGGTTCAAGTTGCCGAAAGTCATTCTTTCTCGAAAAAACGAATGTACTACTACTAATTTCCATCCGATTGCACCAAGAGAGCAGCAAGAGGAACATTACACAACCCTTCCGATTTTCTTACTATTTTTGTTCCTGATTGAAAAAAATCTGTGGTTCCTTCGCTCCTCCAATTCGAGATCCGGTAGTTGCGTTGCTAACCGATAAAAAGTCTGGAAAGCACTGAAAACGAAACGGAAGAGAAGATGGCGACAGAATCGCTTTTTGATCCGCAGAAGCAGTTTTTGTCAAAACCGTTGCGACAACGCATGCAGACGAAGACAACATTTCCCTGCTTCATTGTTGTTATCGTTGTCGCTATCGCAGCGTCAAATCTTTCGCTGTCGCGTGCACTCTCCAATCAACGGTGCATCCATAGAAGTAGGAGTAAGTGCAACATACCAAAGTTCTGCAGTGGCGATCGACGGCGATCGACAAAGAAAAAGAAACACTGTTCTCAGTGACCAAACTTTTTGCGTGATTTTCGTTCGATCTAACCCTGTGTATGTTCCTCGCATCAACGACATGGCGTGTCATTGTTCGCGTCGCTATGTTTTTTTTCTATAGGGTCGGTAGTTTCCTCGTTTTCCACGGTCGGATTCCATCCTGCGATCGGAAGTATGAAAGCAGAACATGCCAATGGCGTGAAGACTTTTCGTTCGGGAGTGCAACTGTATGCATCCGTGAAATCCTCCAACAAAAAGACGAGAAAAAGAAAACAGAAGCGAGGCTCCAAAAAGGTCTCGGGGGAAGAAAAAAAGAGGGGATCCCCTGCGCCAGCACCGGGGCACTCGGTGTCGGAAGACGAACTCCATCAACATCTCGATGCACAGTTCAATTACGGAAATAGCTCTCCGGTTGGTCCACGCTCGAGACTCCGCGGGATCATCGAAAAGGATGGTGGAGAAAAGGATGGCATCGAAGACGAAAATGCCGACACCAAGATGCGGGAGCAGCAGTTTTTTCTGAGGCAATTGAACAATCGTCCAACGTTGGTATTGAACGCAAATTACCTGGTAAGTTTGCAACAAATCACTGCGGCGCGTTTGCATGCTGGCGCATCTCGATGGTTTCCGGAAAGGTCTTACCTTCTCCCCGCCTGCAATCGAAACCGCTTTCACCCGTTTTCTCGATAGCCACTGGGCTATATGCCACTGAGTCTCTGGTCGTGGCAGGATGCCGTCAAGGCGATTTTCAAGGGCAGCGTCACCGTGGTCGATGTCTATCCCGACATTACCGTTCGGGCATCAAACATCAAGGTGCCCCTGCCGTCCGTCATTGCCCTGAACGATTTCGTCCTCCAGAAGCAGACCAAGCCCGCGTTTACGCGCAGGAACGTCTTTCTGAGGGACGAGTACATATGCCAGTACTGCGGGAACCGGTTCCACACGACGGACCTCTCCCTCGACCACGTGACCCCGAAATCGATGGGCGGCCGGCTCACGTGGGAGAACACCGTGACCTGCTGCAAGAAATGCAACGGCAAGAAGTCGAACACACCGCTGGAAGAACTGGGTTCGATCGGGATGAAGCTGAACCGGCTTCCGACCTGTCCCACCCAGGTGGAACTGGCGGCGAAGTCGGCCCGGATGATCCCCAAGCGGGTCCATCCGACGTGGAAGCCCTACCTGGGCATCCAGGAACGGCCGGCGCCGTCGTCGGCTTCCGGTGCCAGCGGGACGAAGGGAGACGAGGAATTCATCGACGATCGGTATTTCGAGGAGTAGTTGGAACGAAAGCAACCGACGTGTGTTTCGTTGCACCCTGCTGTACCGTACAAACCCTCGCGCACCGAGACCCATCGGAGAAGAAACCCTGTTGGGTTTGGGTGCCGCGGTGCAACTCTGTTGCCGGTGTTCTTGGTGTTCCGAGGCACCCGGCGACGTTGCACGGCATTGGAAACCATCTGGGTTGGACACAATTGGGCCTCTGGCCAACCGCTGGCATAAATTCCCGACCGAACAACTGAACTAACCAATGGGGGATCCACCGCTGCTATAATGCAATACTCTACTATTCTGCGCTATACTGTTGTTATGTTGTATTGTGTTATACTATACTATACTATACTATACTGTAATAGAATAGAATAGAATAGAACGGCACGGTACGGCATTCTAGAACGGGATTGGGTGGCGAAAGGCGCTACCTCGACACCGTGTGGACGGCCGCCTGGTTGGGCCGGTAGATCTGGTTTCCCCAGAACTGCGGGGTCCCGTCGGCCTGGTAGATCGTTTTGCGGTACTGCGCCGGATGGGTCTGCTGCAGCCGGTAGTTCGGGGCGGTCCCGCTGCCGGCCTGGCCCGGTGGAAGGTTCTGTGGGTGTGTGTGTTGGTGGTGGTGCTGCTGCCTCCGGGGGTTGGCCGCGTCGCCGATCGGAACGTAGTAGTCCGAGTTGCCCCGGTTGTGGGTGGTGGAGAGGCCTCCGCTTCCGCTGCTTCCGGCCTCCCCGGACATGGAATAGTCCCCGACCAGCATGATGCCGGGGGGCTGGCTCCTGGAGTTGGCCACCGCAAAGTCGCGGACCTTGATGTACCCAATGACCCCGCAGTAGGCCGAGGCGAGCCCCGTGATGAGCATCGATGTGACCCACATCCAGTAGAGGAGCCTCGAGCCGCACCACTTTTCGTTGATGACGAGGTCGTCGTCGTAGTTCTCTCCGGCGTTGGCGCCGCCGGCGTTGTTGTAGTTGTAGTTGTTGTTTCCGTTGTCGTTGGCCTGGTTCATGGCGTAAATGTCGCTGCAGTGGCCAATGATAAAGACCGAGAGCCAGGTGAACAAGAGGCAGACGGCGATGCTGAGTTTCCAGGGGGACCCCCTCGGGCGCATCGACTGGTAGCCGCTCGGGTAGATGTACCGGATGGGTCCGCCGACGTAGGCGTCCCCGTACCACTCCTCGTAGGTCGCATCGGGCATCATCTGCTCGGAGGCCCGGTGGGCTTGGTGCCCCTTTCCCGGCGGCAGCGGCGACGCCCCGCCCCCCTGCCGCCTCGCCGCCGAGGCCCCCCCCGCGGCGGTAGAATTGTCGTCGTAGGAGTAGTCGTTGTCGTCGTCGTAGTGTCCCCCAAAGGTGGCCGTGGTGATCGTGTCCTCCTCGTCGTACGAGTAGTAGTCGGCCCTCGGGGAAAGGAACCGCCTGCGGGGGGCGTAGGCGCCGTTGCTGTTGCTGTTGCCGGCGTTGTAGTCGTAGTCGTTGTCTTTGTAGTCGCCCTGGCTCGGGGACCCCAGGATCCCGTCCCGCTGGTGCTGTTGCTGGTGTTGTTGCTGGTGTTGCCTTTGCTGCTGCTCGTGCCGGCGAACGTTTCCCGTGGTCATCGTGCCGTCGGCTTGCCCCGGCCGGGTGTTCGTGGACCGAACCTGCCCCTCCGGCTCGGGCTGCTGCTGTCCCTGTCCCCGGCGATCGCCCTGCTGCGGCGGGTCTGGCAGCGGGTCCGGCAGCACCGGGCCGTTCTCGTAGTGGTGGTGGGGGTACTCGTAGTCCGCCCCGAGTTCCCGGTCTTCCGGAACGTCCGTCATCGAGTACGCCGGCCGGATCTTCCCCTCGTCGTCGACGTTCATGGCCTGGCTCGGGTGGGCGTTCGTGTTGTTGGCGTTGTTGTTGTTGTTAATGTTGTTGTTAATGTTGGCACCGGGGTGAGGGTTCGCATGCGAATGCGGACCGGGCTGGGGCCCCGTCAGGGCGTACTCGTTCATCGCATACTGGTAGGACGGGGGCGGCTGGGTCTGGCCCTGCGCCTGCCCACCGGAAGACGACGAACCCTGGGGAACGAGGCGCTTTTTCTTGGGCCGCTTGTTCCTCGACTTTCCGCCGCTCCCGAATCCGAGTTTTCGAAACATGCTCGTTCCGTGCCGCTGGTCCTGGTCCTGGTCCTGCTGCTGCTGCTGCTGCTTCTGGTGCCGCCGGGCTGCGTGTGTGCGTCCCTGTTGGATTGCCGGGCGGGTGGGGGGAGGGAGGGAATGAAGTGGTAGTACGGCAGGGCAAACTCGACTCTCAATGGACAACGACGACAACAGAGGTTGGGATCGTGCTCGTACCGGGACGTACTCTTGCTCTCCAGTTGGATTGTGAACGATGAGCAGTAAAGTACCGTACGGTACCAGGTACGGTACAGGACAGCAGTTAAGAAATTTTCAATTTTCTATTTTCTACTAGTAGTAGTACTGAACCGTACTTTGCTTCACGATTCGTACGATACGGTACGGTGCTACTCGTACTCGGGTTTCAAAATTGCAAATTGCCGTTTCGTATTTTCGTACCGGCCGGTACTACTGGTACTTGTACGTACGGTACGTTCCTGTACCGTAGCGTAGGTGTTCCGATTTTCGATGGGGTTGCCACCAATGCTGTACCTACGGTACAGTACTTACGGTACGATGCGTGTAAGTTGCGTTCGTTCGCTGCTGTTCGGCTGAAACTTGTACCGGTACGTACGTAGTTGTACCGTACGCTACTCCTACGTAACGTGTACCGTGTCATGGAACCCCAGCCAGATTACCGTAGATGGAACCCACCGTACGTATCGTAAGTACTACCATACGGTACGACGGGACTCACGTTGTTCGCCGTTCTGTATTTTTTTCCCGGTTTCGATTTTGGGGGGCAGGAAGAAAGAATGTTCTTGGTCCCCGTTTCCTCAAACGCAATCCCTCTCGAGAAGCAAAATCAACAGAAGTATTCTTATTACAGTATTTATTATGGTTCATGCTCGCCTGGTCTCCTGAGAAAGAGATTACTACCGATTCTCAATCTATGATTTGAACGGTTGAACAAGAACTACTATTCGGACTGACACCAATTTGAGTGCATGATCAATATAATATATTGCTACCGTACGTTTACTTATGTGATTACGGGAAGGCTTGCTCCAACGTATCCAAAAAAGGCATCTATCCCACACCAACATCGCATGTTTTCCACAAACATGCGAAGGCGCACATGATTTTTTCAAATGCATTCTATTTGTTTTTCGTTTTACGTCACACACGTGTACTACCCCAACCCAGATTTTAATTTGTTCGTCTAAGTTTCTTGCATTGTCTGAGAATTTGTTGGATTGCCAGCCTCTTTACTCCAATCATATAACAAACAAGCGTCCAGCATGCTTGACAAATTTGGATAGTCTTTCAAGCAGTGGACAGCTTTGCTCTCCTTCGCTATAAAGTCTTCTAGTATCTCGGATGCTTGCAAAATTTCCAATGGCCCAAAGTCGTCTTTATGTCTGCTAATGGGAAAAAACTTGTTGACTCCTCCCTTTGCACCACCTTCCCGGAAGAAACCAAGAATTTCCTTCTCGGCACTAAACGCCGGGAATCCGAGCCGTGAACCGGTGCGCAACGTCTTGTATTGCTTTGCCAAGACGTATTTCACTTGTGATTGACGTGATTCCATTGCCATGGCCCTTTGCCTAGTATCAAAGTGGCTACCACGGATCCCTTGTTGATGAGGCATCCCTGGAGCTTGCATGGAATTGTGTCCGTGAAGCCCATAAGCTGATGGTCCAGGCATCCCACTTATTGTTTGATTCGTCATATTCACACGTGCTGAATAAGGAAGACCACCCCCTACTTCTCCCCTCGCGCGGAAACCGTCAGCAGCCATAGTTGGATGCAGCCCAGGTATTCCGCCAACTACGCCTTGAGAAAGTCCAGGATCACCGGGCATTCCTGCTCCACTTTGTACCCCGAACCGGTTTGATCCCAGGAGGGAACTGTAAGGATCATTGGTGAAATCTCGCCCCTGGAGTGACGATTGCATGAATTCGGAATGGATGCCCCCTCCTGGGGCGGTGTTATTTGCTTGTGCTTCTTCGACTGCACTTACTAGCACTTGGAGATGGCCACGAACATGATCAGTATACGCATTAAGAATTCGCATGATTGGGACGTTCGGGTTGGGCATACTATGATATGGTCGACTATAATCTGGCCCACTACCGTCCTCATGCTGTTGATATCCCAATACCTGCCATTGTAAAGGATGTAACTCGTTTACAACAACGTCAGCCCAACCAATTATACCCCTAATTGCTTGCTGAAGAGCATCAACATTAGCTGGATTCAAATTGCCGCTTTGACCTCCGCGACCAGACCTAAGATTGTCTGGCCCTCCAGCCCCGAATACACCTGAAAGTCTCTGACGGGTAGCACTGGGTGAGTCAGAAGTCCCAGGGTTGTCATTGCCGGCTTTTCCCGTTGAGTGGCGGTTAGAAGCACCCCGAGATCGTTTGTTTCTTTTGGAACGGACATTTACAGGGGGCGTAAATGCTACGGCGATGTCTTTATATCGTTTTGTGCTTGTTTCTGGTCCGACCTTCAAACAGAAATTCTGTCCCTGGTGATTCTTCGATACATCTTCGACTCGGAAACGGAGCTTTGTCCGACCAGTATCTTTATCCAGAACAAGGTTTGCGGTACCAAGTGTGCGTAAAATATCTTGGTTCGCTACCTTAGATTCAGGAGCTCCAGGACCAACCTCGTAACATAAAACAGGTTTCAATGGAATGTTTTCGCCAGTCTTCAGTTGTCCATCTTTGTCATAAATGGCAACAGACACCTCCATACATTTGTCTCTGCCGCCCTCATCCTTGTACCATATGCTTTCCCAATCTTGTTCAACTTTACAGCGTATTTTGTAGTTCACCAAGTGCGTCGGCAGAGTCGAGATCCCCTTCACAAATCTTGTCCTACTTGATGGAGTACTCAATAGATTTTTATCTTCGCCAGTTGTAGAGAATCGGACAACATAACCAGTTTCACCATCTCGACTTATTGAATCTGTTCGGATCATGCACTCCACTACGACAGATCGTTTTCCTCTATTGTTTTCGTCGGTGACGTTGCTACTATTATCAATTTTTGGTTCGCCAGGAATTGTAATTTCCATAGGTGTTGTCATCAAAATGGCTTCGTCTTTGACTGGTTTCCCCGTCTTCGCGTAGCACAGAGTCGCTTTTAAGTTAACCTCATTGTCGACATTCCATATCGTTGATGGCGGGCCAGAGGTTTTTGGAAGCTCTAATTGAACCTCGACCTTAAAACTTTCGTTGCTGTAAACAGAAGATGGGGGTTGGCTTTTGATCACAAGGCATGGGTCATCGGAGTTTGACTGGCTTGCCCCACTAGAGTTACCGGTACTTGATCCATCTCTGGGATAGCTGTTTGTCGACGACGCGGGAGAAGAGGACTTGTCGTTTACCATCATTTTATATGAATCAATTTAGCAAGACGGGAAATTTGTAATTCAATCCAATGTCGTGGGCGAATAGGTTTTTAGGGGAATGTTCCTCGGCGGAAGACTCTTAAGAACCAGTTGCAAAGCGAGCCTCAGTTCTGTTATCGATTTTTGATGTCGTACTTCGGAATAGAGTTTGGAGGATCCTCGGTGAAGTTCGAATACAATTTATATATATCTGCACTAAAGTCCCGACAGAGAAGACGTTTCGAGAGTCGGATCAGTGAAGCTACAGCCCAAAAATATATTTAGTTGCGTAACGTCAGTGTCGTTGCTTGGTTCTGTTTTCAACAATGCCTTTTGACTGTTGACAAGAAGTTAACGCAAGACAATTTAGAATCATTCGTATTTAACACCTCGCAAGAGGAAATATCGAGAGCTGGAATGACACAAACCATGAATTTGAAACACTTACCGTCCACAGTTGACTGCCACTCTCAGGACTTTTCCTTCACAAGCCCTCTCCACCGTAGATATTTCACAAGAAGCACCGCCGACTCTTGTCCTACCGTTAGAGACCTCCCATAGATGCCGGTACTACAACTACAACACAGAGCTCAATATTCTTGGGAAAATTCTTTGAATGCGTTTGAGTAAAAGAAATTTCCTTAGCGATCAGTTGGTCTCGATGTAATGTGATGAGAAGAATCAGTTTTATCACAGGGTTCCCCTCAAAATCGATCCAATAAATGTCCCTTGTCTGTTGCTTTTCTTAAACTCTATTAGTTTGAAAATAAATATCTTCATTAATGAAGATATAGATATATCGTTAGCAGCGTCGTATGCAATGGGAAACCGTCACAATGGTCTAAATGATATAGGAAGGAACCGGGCGAGCATTAAGAAATTCAACGCCCCCCTAACGTCATTCCCGGCCGTTTGCATCAACATTCGTAGTACGCAAGAAAAAATGTCTACTAAAAATAGAAGTCTTATTTTCAAATATTCCATTCAGTCAGTAGGACGTTCAGGAGAGACTCTAACAAAACTATCTTCTTTTACGCCCGATGTTTTTCAAGAACATAGAGTTTCCTTTCGTTTCTCAGAATTTTCTCTTGCTCAAGAATTGTCCATTGAGGAATGCTTTTGAACGTGTTAGATAGAGTTGTGAGATGATAATTTTACATTCTATCTTGATAGAAATAGTATTACACTTTTCACTTACTCTCTGCATGCATTTTTCATTTTTCTTTTTCGGATGTCGGTTTTTCGGTTCATGGTGAACGATCGGGGGGGGAGGTCAGACGAACAACCACTTAGACCCCATCATGCAGAGCGATTTCCTGGTCGATCTAGTTCGGACGGTACGTACGTACCGTACTTACGTACGAGTTACCCGTACAGTAGGACAAAAAATGAATACTTCTACTAATATTAGTACGAGTACCACTCGTACTCGTATCTGTACTGGCAATATTAGTCCTAGTAAGCAGTAAGTAAGGAATGACTGTAAACAAAGCATCTATTTTCACGATTGACAACCCTCACGATGTTTTCGGAACAAAATACTGTAATGGATATCTAGTTCTGTACGGTACAAGGTACCGTAGTCTTAACCATCTATCAAATGAGTGAAACAACCGAGTTAGATCATGCTCGCGATCACATCTATAATTTCAACTACAAGCGCAAGAAAAAGCTCTCGGTCCAACACAATAAAGATCTCAAGCAGTGGGCTGCGAATGTTTGAGGATTGATGTCTTCGCATCGGCATTATGGTGGAAGGATCAAGAGATCCTGCGATAAGGACAAGCAATGGCGCGAACCATAACAATGGCGGCGATCGCGACGGAGTTGAGGAGGAAATGAGAAATCCCGGTCGAAACGGAAATGGTCACCCCTTTCCGTTGCTGTCAATCGCATCGTCTCCTTTCTCGTCGTTCACTTGGAGAAGCCGTCGAATGAGCGACGAGGCAACGAACAGACACCGGACCGACTTTGTCGTTCTCGACGTCCTGGGAAGCGGCGGTTTTGGAAAGGTCTACAAGGTGCAAAACAAACTCGACTCGAAATGCTACGCACTGAAAGTGGTGCCAATGCCCGAGAGCGTGGACTTGGAACATCCGACAACGTTCTCGGATTCTAATCCATCTCGAAAGGATCGCAACAACGAACCACTCCAATTGCGCCGTGTGCTCCGCGAGGTCGAAATCTTATCGGGTATTCCGAGCAACGACCACATCGTGCGGTATTATGCCGCTTGGGTGGAGAAGACCGACGACGAGAACGACTTGCTATCCCACAATCAAGAAGATAGCTGTTACAGTGACAGTTGCCGCGACTACCAGCAATCCACAACAGATTACGACGAATCTTCCGTTAGCTACAGCAGTTCTGGTTACCGATCGACAGAAAAAGATAACGATGAAGAGACTAGAAAATACAATCGCACTCGTCGTAGCGGTCCGGTTTGTCACTTGTGCAAATTGTCCTATGACGACTGGGAAGTTGGATTCGAGTATTGGGGATTGATCGATTCGGTATTGCAACCATTGGATTTGTGTGTCGACTGTTACAAACAGAGTCTTCCGAATAACATAGATACGTCAAAGATGAACATACGCAAAGTAAGACCATATCGAAGACGCTTGTACATTTTGATGGAATACTGCGACTCGACGCTGGAAAAGACAATGAAAATACTGCAGCAGGGTAGAATGGGAAACAGAAAAAACGACCATCTCCTCGAACAGACAGACAAAGCTACCAGCGACGGCTTTCAAAGCAACAACAACAACGACGACTTTGCCGATAGGTGTTGGTCGTACTTTCGTCAAACAGTAAAAGGTGTGGCGCATTTGCATGCTAGTGGAATTATCCATCGTGATATCAAGCCTAATAATGTGTTTCTGGCCAACGAAGGGCTGGCGGAAGGCACTGTAAAAATTGGTGATTTGGGGTTGGCGACCATCGATGCAACAAGAACAACTCCCGTCAGCAACGGTAGTCATCAGGATTTCGAATCAGAGTCGGAAGAAGAAGGCGAAGAAAAGAATACCGAAACAGACCCAAACAACAAAGCGAGCACAGGCGTCAAACAATCCTCGGGGGTCGGAACTTTTCTGTATCGAGCCCCTGAAATAGATACCGGCAGGTACAACGAGAAATGCGACGTGTACTCGTTGGGAATCCTACTCGTCGAAATATTCAGCAACTTCGAAACCGCCATGGAACGAGCAAAGGTGCTCGGAGATCTGAAAAGGACGCGTGCGACACCGAAGAAGACCCCGGTTGCCGCTGCCGGGGGAGACGGCGAGGGGTTAGCATTTCACGTCCATTTGGCACATCGAATGACTGCTCTAGATCCAAACGATCGACCCACTTGTGCGGAAATACTGGACGAGCTGGACAACCTCTCGGTGTTCAGATCAACCAAGGGATCAAATCCTTCTCGATCTTCATCGTCGTTGTCGTTGTCACCATCACCAGCCAACGACGAGTACGAAGAAAATCCCGTTCTGATGGAGAAGGATCGCGAAATTGCTCGGCTTCGTAACTTGTTAGCGGCGCACGGCATTAGCTACGAGGAAGATGATGCAAGATAAGTCATTGGAAACCTGTTGATATAACGTACGGTATTTGAATCGTTATTCATTCAAGATGACAAAATATTTTACTTCGTAATTCAAAATATTGTATCTCTTGAATGCAATGTCCACAATCGTTATGATTTGTTCTACTAGGCTATAATTTCCAGAGCGCTCACAAATAGTATCACTTGTCGATGGTGTTTGTATTCCACACCATACTAACACGTTCAGAGACTATTCTCTCGCATTGCTCTCATGGAATTATGATAAGTTTCAATCACGAAGTACTACCATACAATGGTACAAAGTACTACCTAAAAATAGATGCCAAATACAAAATACAGAACATCGTTCATACATTAAGTAGTACATACCGTACGTACCATGATAGAACGTACATACGTACATATGTACCAGTACAACCGCTACTTCGTTAGATTTGTGACATTTCTACCTACTTCGTACCTACAGTACAGTAGTATTCTTTCAGAAAATCTGGTTGGCACCCCATTTTGCTCCTACTGACACGCTTCTGCAAATCCAATTCTGCAAATCCATTCTCCATCAGCGATTCCCGACCTGCGGTGGTATCATGCGTAACACCGCATGTGTTGCCGAAAACAAAAACAATGAAGACAAAATGTCTAATAACCCGGAACTATTCGCGAAAAGCTCTCCGCTCTTTCGATCTTCGAACGAGACAGACTACGATGTAGTTATCGTGGGCGCAGGGGTTGCAGGTTGTTCTGCAGCGTATCATTTGCTTGCACAGAAATTAGGAGAGGAATCATCCGCGTCGGGCCTGCGAGTGTTAATTGTCGACGCTGGTCCCCAAGCTGGGGAAGGTTTGGCTCCCCGCACACGGAGCGGGACAGCCACAATGGGAGTGGCTCCTTGCGTCAAAATGATGGTCCAACTTTTCGCGGGCAGTTGCGACGACTTTGTTCGACACCACGGCCGAGAAGGCGCCAGGCGATATCTTGATGCTACCAGGGAAGGATTGGTTCTCCAGAAAGATATCGCTGGTAGATTGTGGGTTGCAGAAAAAGATTTCAAAAAGAACGTCAAAGAACTTGGGTCGTATTACGTAGGAAGCACCGAACGCGACGAAATCGAACTCCAGAGAGAATTTGAAATTCTATCTTCCCTCATGGATAATGACGACGGCATCGAATGGTGCGACGGCGATCGCTTGTCTTCTGTGGAAGGGATGAGTGAGGATTTCCGATGTGGGATCTACTTTCCAAAAGATGCAGTAATCGATTCCTCTTTGTATGCAAAAGTTTTGATAGAGTACGTTTTGAAGAAAAGTAAAGGAAATGCCGAATTTTGGCCGAATACAACGGTTCAGTCAATCGATCGGCAAACTAGCGGCGAAGCAGTTTCTTTAAAAGTAAGCGACGGTCGGTGCCAAACAATCAATGCAAAAAAAGTTGTCGTCGCTACAGGAGCGATTCGGTTGTTCCATGAGCAACATGGGTGCTTGAACGGATTGATAAAACCCTGTTATTCCTATCTGGTACATGTTCCCACTGCCGTGCCTCCAGGTGTTGGTGCTCACAGCGAGAATTATTGCTCCCCGAACTTTTTCACGTGGGGGTACACTCACGACTGGTGTTACACAAATGGGAAGATTCGCATCAGTGGTGAAGACCATTTTAGTGCATACAAATCTCCCAAAGAGGAGGAACGTTGCAACCGACTCTCTCGATGGACACTCGAACGATACCGATGCAATGATTTATATACGGACGAAGAGGTGTCATCGTTTCCCAGACAGCATGGATTGTATTCCGAGACTGTCGACATGGTACCAATTGTAGGATCACTTTTGACAGAGGGAAACATATGTTATCTCCTTGGATGCAATGCTTGGGGACAGACTATACTATCTTACTGCGCTTCCCTGGTCCCGGGTCTGCTGGGCTTCCAAGGACTAACGGAATCCCAGCGAGATATTTTGAACTTGGTATCAGTCCGGAGATTTTCACACTTGCCTTCAAACTAATCGCAGCAACGATAAACATTTTAAGCTGCTGTGGCACAAAATTCTTACCATATTTCTTTATGGGAGAAACAATACAAGAAAGTGACAACAAGAGCATTTATTTTAGAAGATGAAGAACTAAAGCAAGTTCTATGTTGAGATTGAATAGTTCCAATGGTCACCTAAATATGGGAGCAGGGTCATGCAGTGCTACTTTCTGCCTACGAAGCCACTTTTGACTGTCGATCACTTAAAAAATTCAAAATCTCTGGGTTTTGAAGAGATTTCCTCGCTAACACTTTTCGGTATGTGCACCCACCAGTACATCCCCCTCCCCCTTTTAAAGGATTTTTTTACTTTAGGTGAGCAAGACGTATGGACTACGGACCGTCACCAGTCACGTTCGAGCACCCCATTGGAAGTAGTAAAAAATCTGGCACAATTTACAATATCACGAATCAACCTACCGCTTCCTTTCGGCAAACATCAAAATTCTTTTTCTGTATCTGCAAAAATGAATAGAAGTTCCATATTACAACGGGTTGCCGTGCCGATCACACAAAATCGGCGCGAGACCTGGATCAATCAGAGCATTCATCCAAAGATGCCCCCTACTTGTCTTTCAATGTACATAGCGTTTTTGGTGCTTGGATGCTCGTTCGTTACCATAGTCAACGCCTTTTCCTTGAACAAGTCGTCATCACCAGCAATACCAAACCATGAATCGGTCCAATCTTCTTTAACGAATAAAATGATATTAGCACCTCTCACGCGAGGCGGTAATTTGCCCTTCCGGCGACTCTGTGCAGATTTTGGAATGCACACGTCAGTTTCGGAAATGATATATGCTCGGTCACTTCTGAGAGGCGATCCTATAGAAAATGCTCGGCTAAGACGTTCGGAAGGAGAATCTATCTTCGGAGTTCAAATTGCCACGAACCAAATCGATGAAGGGGTGAACGCTATCAAAAGAGCTGTAGAAATGGGGGCGGACTTTTGTGATTTGAACTGCGGATGTCCAATCCATGAAGCTACGAGAAGGGGTCTAGGGTCGTCCTTGTTGAGATCCCCAAAGAAATTGCAAAAACTCGTGAGGGGGCTGGTAGAAAGTTCTGAGATTCCTGTAACAGTGAAAATTCGTCTGGGGTGCGAGACAAATAGTATTAACTGTTTGGAAAATGTTAGGGCGGCGAGAGAAGCAGGCGCAGCGGCGATCACAATTCACGGCCGAACTGCTCAGCAGGGATATTCTAAGAATGCGGATTGGGACCTAATTCGACGGGCTGTGATGGAAACGAAAGACGATGGCTACGGCCACATACCAATCATTGGAAATGGGGATATCTTGACATATTACGAGGCAAGGAGACGGATGGAAGAAACAGGCGTCGATTCGGTGATGGTCGGAAGAGGTGCACTTTGTAAGCCTTGGATATTCAAGGAATTTAATGACAATGCGACATGGGCCCCAGATACGAAAGAAAGGGTACAGATCTACCGGGTACTTGCAAACTACATGAAGGACCATTTTGGTGACGATGACATGGGGCGCAAAAAGAGTTGGAATTTTTTGCCCTGGCATTTTGAATTTCTGTCTCGTTATACTCCATATCCCGAAGAAGATTTTGCAGCCCAATCTATCGATAGACCTTTGATTCAGAATCGAATGGTTCTTCCGGATCATACGGATCCATTAGACGTGCTGTTAGCTAATCGGTGCAGTGATGCGCACGAAGTGATCGCATCTATTTTGTGGGATTCGGATTCTGACGAGACGGCAGTACAGAAATTGAATATATTCGCGGAAAGCCAAGATTTCAAGAGAATATTGACAACAGGAAGTGTCAATGAGGGTGAAGACAAAGTACTCTCAAATTTGCCGAAGGGAAAGGCGGGAAAATGGGGGAAGCGGAGAGGACGAAAGCCAGGCCCAAAGAGGACAGAGGAAGAAATTGCGCAGATTCGAGCCGAACGAGCGGCCAAGAAGGAAAGAATCCTCGCTGAGGGAGGTACTTGGCCTCCCTAGAAGTGTTTTCTGATGCAATTATTCATTGAAGAATGGCTTGTTGTTGCAAACACGCATGCAGCGGAATTAATTTTTATTAGTTTGATTTGCACCCTCGCAATTACCGAACCTGTGAAATATCAGAAGAAAAACAATTACCGAACCTGTGAAAAAACAGAAGAAAAGAAGCTATTACAACTCATAGCGCAAATAAATATTGGAAAGTGAGCAGCAGGGCCTATTTCTCGAAAGCTAGGTTAGTACTGTACTTTCAATAAAGAATCTACAAATGATTGTGCTTCACCGGATTTCTAAGAAATACGAAGCATATTCGAAAAGACAAGTTGTAACATTGTTGTTGGTGGCACCCAAAATTATCATTCTGGCAGATTATGTCCTTGTTATTATTTTTTCGCGACATTGAAACATCACAGTATCGATCGTTTCGTGCGAAAGGTATTGCTGCGACAATTTGAACCACTTATTTGAATCAATTCTACAATCCAGCCAATTCCGCTTCCAGTGCCCTCAGATCGTCCTCCTCTTTTTTCTCCAACGCTGGAAGTTTCGAGTTCGGAGCGGCTGGCATTGCCTGCACGGCCGTCGGTGGGGGTTTGAGTAGCTCGGCTTCCAAATCTGCCGTCTCGAGCATATTGAGTTCTTCCAAAAGTTCGTCTTCGTCGGTCATTAGCGGGTCGACAGGCTGAGCAATGGCATCGTTGATCTCTTGTGCCATTTCCATTTCTTCCTTGATTTCGTCCATAACATCGTCGACTTGGTCGATGCCAACGTTTTCTCGGATTCCCTTCATTGCTGTATTTCCTTGCTTGAGGGCCTGGTATGTCTGAGCATTCTGTTGCGCCGATTCCAGATTAATAACCTGCGTTTCAAGTGTGAAGCGTACATTTTGAATCTTCGCCTGTTCTTGCTCATAGAGCTTTTTTCGTTTCATAGCATAAACGGCACCTTTGAATTCGAATTGATGTTGAAAGTATTGGATTTGTCAGAGCGTCATTTGAACAGAGATATTGCGGGTATTTTCACGTATGTTGTCGTATTCGACACGTATAATTGTTGGGCATGAATTGTTGTGTGCGCCAATCACAAATTAACGTAAATATGTACGAATCGATCAATTATTGTTCAAACAGTGGATCGAAAGAGGTAAGAGAACAGAGTACATAAAATCAGACATTGAAGCGTCGTAATCTACATATTTGGTCAACATCTTTCCCCGAAGGAATACATAAATTCTTAGCTTGTTTGTGAAAGGACTCCACTCCCTTTATCCACTCACCTTTCTTGTCACCCTTGGCCATTTTAGCCTTTGCTTCTTTCACCATCATATCGATCTTCTTTTGAATATGATCCTCTCTAGAATAATTCCGACGATGCAGTGGCGAGGTAGCGAGTAAAATTGAATCCAAGCGAAGAACGCAAACAGGTAATAATTCGTGAGTATGATTATGTATTGATATCCACGCGTGGGTGACCGGCAAATTATATGTATTAGAAAAGGTACAGCAGCTATCTATTGACAAAAACGATAGTAAAGATAGCTGCTTGACTGGCTGACCGACATTCCAAAGAAAATGTATTCGCAACTCACCTCTTGTCTTGGTTGGCGATCGATTCTCGTAGTTTTACGATCGTCGTTTGCGCATCCGATGGTTTTGACGTCGATGTCGACGAAACGGTTGTGTTCACCTCTTTTTTCTTTTTCCCGAAAAAGTTCATCATATTGGAAAATTAAAAAATTAAGTGCTGTGCTTTTTCTTTGTGTGATTGATTCGACTTGTGTCCTCTCGAGAAGAGTGTCTGATTTGGTGTGCTGTGCCGTTTGAGATTTCGAGCGAAGTTTGGAGAATTAAAGACAACGATCAGAAAAGGAATATTCTGTGTTTCTTTTCTAGCTTCTAGTGATTGCCTGAAGTGTTTTAGGCTAACCCTATAAGATGTCGCACGAGGACTGATTTTAGATAGTGCAAAGTACAGTATTGTTTTCGACACTTTCGTTGTGATTGTGTCTCTTCCCAATCACGCCTGTAATCGTTAACTCATCGTATTGTTGCAGTTGTCAGTTAAGTTCCGTTTGGTTGTTCGATTTCCAAACAATTCTTCGGTGTTGAGTCTTGGGAACCGATCGACGTAGGGTACAACCGAACATCCATCGTCATATGCTTCATAGTTATTTAACATATGATTCCGTACTAAAAAGCTCTGTACTGTGGTGGTTTACCGGTATGTACTAGAATCTGGAAAGAATCTCAACTCTTTCTTTGTGATGTACTTCTACTGCTAGTAGTACAACTATTACTAGTAGTACTCCTATATGCTGACACTATTAGTAGTAGTAGTACTACTACTAGTATGTACTGACCAGCACTAAGAAGAAATGACGTGCTTGTTCTTCCTCTTTTTATTCTTCTTCTTGTTCTTCTTCTTGTTATGAGGAGGATGGTTGACCACAGTAACAACAAAAACAACAAGAAGGAGAAGGAGCACAAGAGGAGAACAAGGCAAGAATAAACAACAAGCAAAAACTAAAATGATTTTATCATTCTTGTTGCTCATCTTCTTACTAAGAATGTTGTTGTTCTTGTATGGTGGTACTTCTTGTTGTCCTTCCTCTTGCTGTGCTGCTAGTGGAGCACAGTACTACTAGTAGTACTAATATGGCTTTCTTGTTGTTCTTGTGATTTTTGTTGATTCTTGTCTTACACAGCATGAAATTAATTGCACTAGTAGCAACGTCTTTTTCTTGTTTCGTCACAAAAAGTGATCGCGGGGTTTGGTCGCAC